TAAAGACTTCACAGAAAGATTCTGCTCATGACACAAAACTCATTAAAAAGACATCATGCTTTTTACACTCTGCCCTATAAGCCATGGCAGAACTTTGGTATCACTATAAAAATGTCTCAAATTGTCATGAATGGTTATGAATTTTGACCCCACATTGGTGGTGAAGGAAAGCTTGTAGGGAATTTCCTTCAAAGGCCTTTAGCAAAGTTGCTTGCTGGTCTTAGTATCAATGCACTGTATAGAAGTATAACACTTTCTAACTTCAGTTCTTCCAGGCTTGGCTGCAATGTCTTTGGTACATGCGCAGGAAGTTTCATAATTATCCGCACCCATAGATATTAACACTTTTAAAAGTTTTTAAGCAAACACTCCTAATACTCTAAGCCCTCTTCCATACAGTGGCTATCTTTCTCAAGATATAACCTCTCACCCACAGCCTTACCGTTTCTCTCCCATTAGCTTACATGTGGGTAACTCAGCTTTACTGGTGGCACTACAAGGCCACAGGGAGCTGCCTTACCTCTGGGAAGTGACCCTGTTTTAAGCACATGCAGCATCCGGGGTGCTGAGGGCGTCAGCCCCACTCTCACCCCCTGCACCAGTGGGCTGCTGTGGGATACAGCCAGGGAGGAGGATGCTGACACTCACAGGGAAAGGGCATGAGGTGGACATATTTTGACTCCGAGTTTCCTGATGGGAAAAATGACGAGCTCAATGATTTTTTTTGGCTAAAAATACTGGTTTATTTTTAGTCCTCAAACTCATATTAGTCCATGATGCAGAATAGCCCCATGTGGTTCCTTCAGCCTAAAAAACTACTCCTGGCTCTTACGCACTATTGAAGGTACAAATGTTTTCAGCTGAAACTATTTCACTCCAATTGTGATTTCAGCCACAATCCATGTAGCTTTCTCCCTCCGCTTCTAGGTGAATAAATACTTGTCATTGTGCACTGAACACCAGCCAAAACTGATGCAACAATGAACACAAGTGATTCTTCTGAGCTAATGGCTTGAAAGCCTGTAATTCTTGGGGCTTATTTTTAGCTTAGAACAACATAGGACTACTTCACCCAAAAGTCTTAGAATTTAATTCCTCCTTTAGGGAGGCTGGCATGTAAAAGCAAAGCTCCCTTTAGCAAAAGGCTGGTCTCTAATAAGCTGCATTTGATGCCCCTGCCTGTTGTCACACAGCTTGAGCCAATAACTAATAACAGTGCGAGGAGGGAGAGGGGCAGCACTGCATTTCAAGCTGTCAGTAAGAACTTCTAATTTCACTGCAGAAATGGCTGCTCCTTGTTATTCTACTTACCAAACATGAGTCTGAGGACTCAGAAATGTTCTCACATGTTCTAAGACAAGCTTTATCTGAGATGGGAGCAGTTTAGCACTTGCGGAAAACTTTTTATCCCAGTTAGCACAAACATTGTATTATTCAGACAAAAGAAATCCAGAAGAGAGTGTCTGAAGCACGCCTCATTTGCAGAACCTGGCATCTTTTGTAAAGTGCCTCAAGGAAACTTGGATGAATTTTTGGGTTTTGGTGATAGCAGATGTATCTTAAATCTTCCACAACGCTCATTGAAACAGAACAGGGTGACTGTCATGAAAATTCAAGATTGTACCCGTGTGGGTAAATACCTACATGTTTCAATTACAGGACTTCAGCTGATATTACATGGGCATTAAATCACCCCAGCAGCTAGTCTGGACACCGAGGGCATGATGTACTTCAGAGCCCTGGCTTTCCATTTCAATTAATCCCCACTGTTAAAAACCCCAAATGCAGGTAAGTGGCACCCCTAACAAACTAAAAACTTCCTTATTGACCCATTGTTTTCACCGACCCCAGCTTGCCTCCTTCAGTATAGTAGTGGAGCTACAAACACAGAGCATAGCCTTGAACTGGTAAATAATGGCATAAAGCAGCCAAAAAGATGCAGCATCCATTATTTGGAAAAGTGGCTCTCCTGTCTGTCAAAATATCAGGGATTTTGTCTGAGAAGAGTCAATGGCTTCACAACAGCCCCTTTTCCATGTCCTCTTTGGCACATCCCTAAAAATAATAAAAGCAACAGACAAGGCAGGCAGGTGAACATCCAACTGTAGTTTTTCAAGTCAGTCACTTCAACACATCCGTCACCTCAGATGGCTTAAAAGACAGACTACCACAAAGACACTGCTAGCTCTGCAACACACAATTATTTTAAGATGTCTTTCCCACATGTGACAAGCTGAGTTTGAAAGTCAACAATAAAGCACTTCAGTCACTCCAATCCGTCTTGGAAGGAATTTATTTGGATGCTCCCACAACGTTAAAATATGATTTGGTCACCTTAATCCTCACAGATAAACCCTAAACACTAAGCCAGAAAGAACCTGATCATACTGTTTCCCTTTCTCTCTTGACTGTGTTTACGCTGTGCTTTCTAGGCAGCAAACACTGTCCCCTGAAGCCAATAACAATGGCTGTGACAGAAGCGCCATTGAGAAACACACTGTGATCTGTGTATCCACACAGGCCAAAGCCATCCTCAGCGCTGGGTGAAGTGCTGGTGACTCCTCTACTGTACAGCTTCTACTCTGGGAAACTTTAAACAAAACCCCTCCAGGGATCAAGGACTATCTGGAGTTCCCATTCTAGGAGATGGGTGACTTGAGGCAAGTCTTTGTCCCTTCAGGGAAAGACCCAAAAGCACCACAGGCTTTTCATCAGCCTTCTCTACTTAGAGCCACTTGGGGTATGTCAGGAGTGCCAGACCAGTACTGATGTACCAGCAGGTATCAGTAAAGAGAGTTGGGATTGCCAGGACCTTTAAGAACCACCTGTGGTGACATCAGGCATAAAAGGACAGAGGATCAAGGATTGTAGTATGCTAATTATAGGTAAATACAATTAAGTATTGTCAGCCAGTAAGTATTAGATGGGAGGTTTCACTAAACAGTTTTTTTAGTACTTTTGCATAACCTAATGACACTGTTATTCAAACCAATACTTGCCAGCAAAACAGAGCAATTTAGAACGAAATTAATTTCCCAATGTCAATTTTTGCACAGCTAACTTCAAAACACACATTGCTGCAACTTTAAAATGAATGCACACCTAAAAGCACTTACTGCTCACTGCATTGAATGAAGGCCACAGCTAACAGCACCTATTTGAACTGAGCACAACTACCACAGACACACTGCTCACTTCCTTATCAAGGTTTGTCAGCTGGAGTTGACTGGCACCTATTGAAATAAACCCACTGGAAGCCCTTTTCCCACCCTCTCCTCCTGCTGCCCCAGGCTCCTCACACAGCTGCATGTGCAAAGCAGCACGAGTCAGCAGTGCATGCTATGCTGTGGAGAGGAAAAAAGAAAATCAGAAGCTGCAGTGTTGCAGTTTTCCTGTGAAGGCAGAGACTAAGGAGCTTTCACCCTGATGTTCACTCACCTCCAAGACCCAAGGGCTCACAGACACACAGCATCAGCTGCTGACACCACACAGAGCAGGAGTCACACCGGATAAAATATTTACATCTTCCATTTCACCACTGGACTGTACCTGAAACAATGCATTGTTAAACCTCCTCCTGAGCACACCCTCCCTCTCCCAAAATGACCATGCCAGCAAAGCTTAGTGCATCAGCAACAGTAGGAACAAGATGCTTGGACCCATTTTCAGATGTCCTCCTCTCCCCTCACTTTCTATAAATGCAGAAGGAGGAAACACAAAGGGAAATGCAGCTGAAGCAACCTGCCCAGATCCCAGCTGGGGCACTACTGGGGCTGAGACAGTGGCTATTTTGAGATAATGGAAGGCTGAAAACCTTCAGATGTCAGCACTTAGCAGTGGACAGTATTTCGAATATTTACACAGCCATGTCCCTTTCTAAGGAATTGCAAACATTAGGGCTTTTTACACCACAACGGCTGCACAGAAGGGGAAGTGCTATTGAGCATCTGTCTGAGCATACTTCCCTCATTCATCCAAGTCAAGATATCAAGTTTTGGGGAACACTACTGTAATTTGTGAACAAAATGGTATATTCAGGGACCTATAATAAACCACAGACAAGACAGGAGATAACAATGCTTTATTCGTACATTTCAGCAACAGGAGAAATAATTGAAAGATGAAATTATCTGCTTTGTTGTAAAGTATAAAAACATTTAATTATAAATATTTAGCTAAAAAAGCGTGATTTATAAAATATAATCTGTGAAGATATATATACACAGTTTAATTGTTTAGCAATTCTTTCACCTGACATTAAAGAGTAGAGGTTTTTCTATTTATTATTCCATTCTCACAGTTTAGTGCTCACAGTTTAAGAAGCAAAACAGACAAATGAAAACATGACTGGTGAGTTTCATTCTGGAAAGAAAAGAAGCACAAACTGGGGCAATAGCAGAGGCAGAATTTGAGCAAATCCATCTTTCAAGAAAGGTCTCTGAGGGAACACAGCTCCCCTGCCGTGACCTACAGCGTATGTATCCAGACAAGCAGTGGGCATTTTAACATTTGTGGGCAAGGTTCCCGTGTTTGCAGAAGAAAATGGCTAATAGTATAGCGCAAGCCCTCTCAATTCAGTTCAGCTAAATGTGCTCACCTTACTGCTCTTTCCTTCTCGAGCACGGATTGCTCAGTATGCTGGGCTGGTGGTATGTCATGGCTCTAATGAAATCACAGTCAATGTCACCTTCATGATTCAGGATTTCCAAATAGAAAACCCCAATGTGCCATCCTATTGCACTGTCCAGCTGGTAATACCACTTAAAAACAGATACAGCTGCCTAAGGCTGGAAAATACAGTGAAGCCGTACAGTACACTAAATGTGATGGAATGTGAAAGAAGATACATGGTCAGGCAACTCAGTTTTCTATTCCTCATTTAAGACAGAGCCAGCTTCCTCCCTTCAAAGTATTGGGAATTCTTGCCTCTTATTGAAAGATTTGTTACTATGGCACTTCAGAGAAGAAAAACTGGAAGACTCTCCAACATGCTGGGTGGCAGAAAATACTACAGGAAATGGTAACTCATTTGATCCATGTCCCTGGTAACCATCTTACTCTCTTCACAGTGTTTTCACAGTGCCTGTGGCACGGGGCTTTGAGAAAGAAAAGGGTGACAACACCCAACAGCAGTACAAACATACAGGAAGTCAAGCTGTAATTTGTACACCCTGATTTACACAAGACCTCACTACTTGCCTGCAAGCACAGAATTAATTAACATGGTGTTAAGAGAAAAAGAATGTATAGAAAATAAGGAAAGAATAAAGTAGGCAAGCACGACACTTGTCAGTGCTCACCCATGATTTGCTACCTGCTGTTTCTGCTTCAAGGTGATGTGCTCCTGACAGTTCAGAGCAAAACAGCATGTGCACAGCTCTTAGGATTCACACTGTTATGAATGCATAGTAACTGCAAGAACTGTGCCCTTAAACTCAGGAGGATCTTCAGGAAAGGAAGGCTAACAAAGCTGTAATGAGTTTTAGGCAGGATCCAGGCAGTTCTCTCCAGGTAGAGCCCTGATCTGGGAAACGTACCAAGTCATGTGCAATTTCAGAGTGCATATTGGCTGGTCGGTTACTGGGTAAATGCAGACTTCAACTCCCTGAAAGCAGCTCGGCGGTGTTTCCTTTCCTCCTCTTCCCGCTTTCGCTCATCCTGCTCAGCTTTTATCTCTGCTTCAAACTTACTGGCTGAAGAGAGGGCTTGAACCTTTATGAGAGAGAGAAAAGAAAAGCCCGTCAAGCCTTGCAGAGGGAGAGCCAGAGCCTAAACTACTCCCAGATGAGCAATGGAGAACTGTTTGCTGTGCCATCCAGTGCTCTGTATTAATTACACTGCAATGCTTGGGCATTTACATCCAGTACCTCTTAGCTTGCTTGATTTCAACATCAACAACAGAAAGGTCGTTCACTAGTAAGTCACTAACAAGTGACCAAAACAATGCTGTCAGTACTGGGTCACATACATTCTTTCTGTAGGCAGGCAGCATAGCATAAGTTGTGAGTGCACAGTGGGAGAAACGACTGCAGAAGACAGTTCTGAATGACAGCCAAATCTGAGAACATCATACTACACCACGGATAATCTGCAGATCAAAGAGACATTGTTTATTTGCTGGCTATTTTTCCAGCTTTCATCTCAGTACATCTGCTGTGCAAGAGCTGTGTTATGCTCTTGGGAAAAAAACTTCTTGTATAAACAAGCAGGATTATTTTCTCTCCAAGAGAGCTTTCAAAAAGGGTGCTTTGTCAGCTTTGAATGGTGCAAAGATCTTTCTGCCAACCCCAGGACCCTGTAGAATAATTCTGATTCCAAACGTTAGAGAGCTGCTCGAGAAAGAGATGTCCGAAATCTTATACTCCAAAACACTCCATTCACCACTGAACTCAGAGTGTTCTGGTTGACGGAGGTTTTGCAAGATGGGAAACTCTGTCCCTACTGCATTAGTTTCCAGGATACTTTTGTCTTTAAAAGCAGACAGCCAGCTTTTCCCATAGAGCTCCCAGCCACAGGGACACAGGTTGGCCAGTCCCTGTGGCAGGTCCTGTAAGACCCAAAGCAGAGGTGGTGAATTAAGCTGTTCTAGTGTTGACTGATTTGCAGAAGAAGGATGTAGATAAGAGTCCAACAAAGTTTGAAGGGAAAAGCTATGGCTGAGGTTGGGGTGGGAGGCATGAAACATACAATCCTTCTAGCTAGGAAGAAATACTAGACATTAGTATAGAAATATCTTCTGTTCAAAAGCAAGCAGGGTCAGTGTCTCGGCAACAGTTAAGGCCTGTGTACAAAGCTTTTTCATGTTCCTCTGTGCCACACCATACCTTAGCTTCAAAGAAGTTCTTGGCTCCTTTGACTCCCTCAATGGAGACATCTATCTCTGAGAGCTTCGCAAGAGTTAACAGGCCGCTGTCCTCCTCGAGCTCCCCCGCTGCTTGGAACTAGCAATATAGACAGAAAACATCCAAGCTCTTCAGTGAGGCTCAAATGAAACGCGAACAGCGCAGACATTCACCTGCAGGGGGCTGGAATTCACATTCCTGAGCAAAGGAATCCAGGTCTATATAAACCAAGCAGTGCCATGGAACTTGTACCCAGCATTGGTACACAGCCCTCTTAAGACTAAAAGGGGTAGGAATCCCATAGGAAAATAGGGTTTCCTAGGGAGCAGAGCCCTGGTGAAGCACAGCTCCTACTGAGCCTGGGCTGCTACGTGGCCAGAGGAAGGAGACCACCTGCTTGGTACAACCATATGCTAGGCTCAGATATACTTCGTTATGTCCTCACACCCTACTGGTGTATTCACAAGCCCTGCATGAGCTTCCCCAGTGTTCTGGAGACTCAAATCACTTCCCATGACAAAGAAAGCAGGACAAAAATGGCCTTGGCTCACAGCTGAACCCCACGCTCCCTGAATAGAGGCACCAGTGCACTCCAGTTAGAGAGAACAGGAGTTAGCAGCCTAAGCATGGGCATGCCCGTGTGATGGAGTGCCTTGAACAACTGTGCACAGAACAACTTGTTTTGGAATCTCTGTTCTGCACTGGACCACAGACATTTAACTAATCCAGAGTCACTACAACAGAGTGCATATTGGCATGTGAATTGCACAGGAAAACAAACAAGGAAAGCACACTTTATTTCACAGAAAGGATGCAAAGATCTGCCTGCTTAAAAATAAAGACCTCTGCACCACCTTCTACCTGCTAACTGAACTCCAGGTTAAGATGTGGATTTTCTATGCATCATTTGAGAGGTCCTATAACTGCCAGCTCCTTTTGGCCACCCAAGGTTTCTCAATCCTTGGAATCCTGTGGAATGAACAGAGACCGGGACAAGTCACCCCGGTTCAAAGGGAGCACCAAGCCGCACAGCTTCAGTCCAGGGCAGAGGGCTGCACGTACCACACAGGGCTGCCCATAACTCCTGAAACAGCACAGGCACATCAAACACCTCTAGTGCTGTGCTCCTCGGGCTGCCAGGCTCGGGACTTGGCCTCTTCCTACAGGGAGCCTGAGCTGTCCCAGCGGAGGGCAGCAGAGTCCCAGCATCTGCTTGCCTGCTAGAAGGATGTTGGAGAGGGTCTCTTCATTAGGGACTGTAGTGATAGGACAAGGGGTGATGGGTTTAAACTTAAACAGGAGAGATTTAGGTTAGATATAAGGAAGAAGTTCTTTCCTGTGAGAGGGGTGAAGCGCTGGCACAGGGTGCCCAGAGAAGTGAACACTCCATCCCTGGCAGCGTTCAAGGCCAGGTTGGACAGGGCTTGGAGCAACCGGCTCTAGTGGGAGGTGTCCCTGCCCATGGCAGGGGGTTGGAACTGGATGATCTTAAGGTCATTTCCAACCCAAACCATTCTGTGATTCCATGATTCTAAGTTGCTTGCAGAAGCTGGTGGAGATGCAAAGGCCTCCCATGGGGAAGGGTGTGGAGATGACAGCAGTGCTGGCTGCCTCTCACAGAGGGAGCGTCACCAGGCTTTGCTTGCTGCCTCATAACCTGTGTGTGCTCAGCACAGAGCAGCCAGAAAGCAGACTGTGGCTGGGGAGGGAACTCTCCCCCCTCCAAACACATGTAAGAAATTAGACAATGCTCTGCTAACAGGCAGAACATCCCGCTCAGAAAGAAACCAAATCCTGCCCAAGATATCCTCTCCCTCTGCTCAGTTCCGCTGGGCTCAGGCTAGTTCCTTTCCCCCTCCACCACCAGGCAGGGGACTCGCAGGGCTGGCAGCCAGGCTGGCGTTAGTCATGGCTCCTCCTCGCAGTTTCTGCTCCACCCTGTGAGTCCCACTTCCTGGCATTGGAAAAGAGCAGCGGAGGCAGCACAATCCTGAGGTCTGCTACAGCTGTTGCCCAGGAGGAGCTGGAAACATCCAGTCATGAGTACAACTGTGCATGAATCATCCTGAAACTAGAAGATAGGGCAGCGATCCTTCAGTGGTCGAATATGGGCTGCCACAGCCATGAAATGCGGGCTGAGCTGAAGGAAACCAGGGACTGAATCACCGTTTGGGGCAGACACAGCATAACGTCAGCCCCAAGCACCCAGCAAGGTGGACTATGGGGCATCATGCTGGTTTCCACAGGAGCAATCCTTACACCAGCACACCACCTGCAGCTCACCTCACCAGTTATTTGCCCTCAAGGCATCAGTCCTTACTATCTAGAGACCACCAGCAATCTGCATCCAGCTTCCATTCCCAGCCTGTTTCAGACTCTTGCTAGGCCCATCACCTGCAGCTAAGCCTCAAGAAAATGGCAATAGAGGAAAAAAAGTGAATAATGTTGGTACCTTTAAAAGCTGTGCTCTCAAGGAGGACATGACACACACACTTTCCACCACCCTAACCCCACAGGAGATGTATCTGCTCACATCCTTCATGATCCAAGACCTACCCTCCATTGCCAGGTCTCAGAGGGATGCTGCAGTTATGCAGTCCCACCAGGCTCCATGCTGGCCTCAGGGATGTGAGAGAAGGCACAGGACTGACTGGCAGCAGCAGCCTTACAACAGCTTGCCAGGAAAGCAGTGCCACCCAAGGCTGTGGTTTGCACCAGCCCTGCCAACAAACCTGATGTGGGTCAGCATTTAAGCTGGTGTGGGCATGGTGGACATTGGGTAGATTTTTGAGGGTTCTAGATAGTGGCCACAATTAGACATTACTATTATAGCAATTAACTCTGGTTTCCTGTGGTAATGCTAGAACCAGGTGGTCAGAGGTGTTTCCTCCACACACTGTACTCATCTTTTTAAACCTAAATTCTTTTGCTGCAATTACGCAGTTAATTGTTGATGTATTGATGGACGCTCAGAGGTCATTGGTAGAAGGCAGCCTTCCTAAGGGGGCCAGCAGTTTGTCAGCAGCAAGTCAAATCCATACAAGCCTGCTTCCCAGGCAACAGCTTACCTAGAATGAGAGGACATGACACTACCCAAAGCAGCAGCAAAAGGTGACCTATTGCAAGTGAAAGAGGTCCTTACCAATTCTCTGCCCAGGTCATAAGAAGCACATCTTCAGGCAGGTATGTCAGGACTTGTTATTCTCTGGAGAGGCAGACAGGAGCCCTCCAGCACTTGAGTTCAACCCTGCTGAGTTCAGACACTCATTTAAACCAGGGTTTTCCTTTGTGTTGTCAGAGAGCCCCAAGTCAGCTTCATCACCCTCCGCAGGCTTGTTTGTCACAAGAGGAAGCAGAGTGGGACAGGGCTACAGGTTAGTTCAGGCCTCCTCACCCACTGGGAAACCTGCCTCCTTGTCAGTCTTCTGCCCCAACACAGCAGCTGGACCCAGCACATCTGCAATAAAGCAAGCAGCACCCTGCTCCTTGCAGAAGGAGTTCTGGGTACATGCCAAAGCTGCCATGTAATTTGTCCCCAGAGCTCTGCCAGCAATGCTCCCTCATTCCAACTCATGTGCTGCTCAAGCTGGGGGTTGTTTGACCATCATTTTGCATCTGGCAAGAAGCTACAACAGCACCAGCTGCCACATGCTGCAAGCCAAGGGCTGGAAGCACAGCCAGACTATGCCAGCTGATGGGTGGCCGTGCAGGAGGCTGTGGTCCAAGAGCAGAAGAGGAGCTGCTCTCCCTTGCCACTGGTGTCAGGAGCTCAGGGTACCTTCCAGAGTCCTGAGGATAAAGGTACTGACCTGTCACAATAGGGAGCCCCTGCAGCAAGCCCAGAGGCTGTCCCCAGCTCTTCACCCAGGGTGAAGGGTGGCCCAGGAGGCACACAGAGAGCTCCTCCAGCCCACACAGTGATTTGGCAATCACAGTCTGACCTGGGGCCAAGGGAATGGTGCTCTTCCTGCTCCACTAGATTCTTTGCTACCCCCCAGTTCACCTCTGACCTGGCGCATCTCCTTCCCTGCCCAAAGGAGCTGATGGCCTAGGGATGTAAAGCAACAGGCTCTCACTTCCCAGATTTGCATACTTTCCCCCCCTCTCTTAAGGGCTGGAGCCTGTAACGCAGCCTGTGCCTTTGGCCTGTCTTGTACTGCTGCCCTCCTGTACGGAAAGAAATGCAGCAAAACCCTTTGGGGGTGTAAGCAGGGAGAGATGGAGCATCAGCTCTGTGAGCTGCCCGTCACCCCTCACCCCAACCAGTCCAGCTGGCCACGGGCTGTGGCTGCTCATCCTCCCTCCCAGGCACTGCCAAACACCTCAAAACCTCAAAAATGAACAACCCCATGTCCTGAGCTGTGGAGTGCTCTGCACCTGGTCTCCACAACCAAACCACCACCATGGCAAGAGCACAACCCCACTGCAGCCATCTGTTGGGGTGCGACAGCAGCACAGCCCTCAACCAGTGCAGGACACAAGCAGCACTGGCCCTCCTGCTACCTAAGGGGGATGTCAGTTAATCTAGAAAGCCACAGTGTGACATATACTTCTGACTGAGACAGCAACCAAAGCCTGGGAAGAAGAGATGATGAAGCGGAAGGTTTTAGTATCTGGGCTCCCCCTTCCTGTTAAGTTGGGTACCTGTGAATGCATGAAGGTCTCTGCTCAAACTCCCTCTCCTCCTGTGCCTAGCAGCAGTTCCTGGCCTGTTCATGCTGCTCCCAGTGGTCTCAGCCCAGCAGTGACAGACCTGTTCACTGCGTGTCCCTGCTGAGCCCGCATCCACCACTAAACTGCTGAATCACCACATTTGTTCCATGGCGCAGGGAGGTGACCACCCCCCAGGAAGCTTGCCATGGCTGGTTACTGCCTGATGCAGAGAGGGACACGGTATAAACTAGCAGAGGAAGCCTCCAGTGCCACATGAGATCAGCTGCTCTGAGCAGAGCCCTTGCCCTGCACCTAAAATGAGGCCTGAGCCACTGTATCGCAGGAGCCCAGCAATGAGACCTTGTGACTGAAGGGATGTGCCACTTCCAGGTACAGCAAGAAGCTCTGTCAGCACTCCCAGGCAGCTGCAGCAGGGCTCATATGTGCTCCCAAAGCACACAGAAGGGTTGGAGATGGACACTGACAGTGCTCTGCATCTTAAGCCCCATGGCATGGGGAAGCTTACCTGCTTTTCCACTGCACCCCACAGCTGGAGAAACACAAGAGGGGACAGGGCTACCTACAGCCAGAGCACAGACCTGGCTGCCTCCTCCCTCCACCCCACAGACACATCCCCATCTTCTCCTGCGGCCACCCTCACCTCGCGGAAGCTGAGCTTCCCATCAAAGTCTTCATCCACCTCCTTGATCATGTTCTTCAGCCCCAGGTGGGTCTGCGGGGCTCCCAGCTTTTCCATCATCAGCTTCAGCTCCATCAGGTCAATGTACCCATCCCGTCCCGAGTCATACCTGCAGGGTGCAAAGGTGAGGGGGTCAGCCCTCAAAATCCCCACACCCATCTTCCCAGAAGAGGAACTGTGCCAAAGGATAAAGTCACAGGGTGGCTCAGGCGATGGGGGAGGCTTCAGGACATGACCAGCACTGAGATATATTAAGCTCAGGGAAGTAGCTGACAGCTTACACAGAGAGAAGTGCTCGGGGGAGCTAAGACCAAACCACCCACAGAGAAGGAGCATGGAGGAACTCGGCTTATCTCAGCGGGATTTCCATCTCACCCACTTGTGTGCCCAGCACAAAGGTTACTTGCACGCAGCTTTACACCATGCACCAGCACAGGGAGGCAAAGGCATGCCCGAGCCAGCTCCTGCCAGGTCAGCTGCTCATTTTGAAGAGAAACAGGGAGCACAAACCAACTAGAACCTCCCAGAAGAAAGCAGGTACATCTCTTTGTAGGCAAAACACACACACTCCTAGCTATTAAGATCTTTCCTCTACAAAATGGAAATGGTTTTGTACTGCACAAGCACCATGCTTCAGGGCGGCTGTTTATCCAGTATTCCTGGGCCAAGCAGAACAGCAGTCCTGGGGGAGCACAGCAATCCCAGCCAGTGCTGCGGGCTGCATCACAGGGCCAGGCTGGCAGAGGAAACCAGCGTCCACCTCTAAGAGCAAGACTGAAGTGGGACCACACTCCCAGTGGACTCTTTGTAGGAAGAGAGCACCCATGCAAGGAGCAGAGTGCTTTAGAGATGGGAGACAGAGACCTGCCACAGTCAGCCTGGGACCATGCACCATCTGCTGAATATAAGCATCCAGCCCATCCGGCAGCCAGTGCTTCACACCCAGCAGGGCCATCACTGGGTTTCAAAGTCCAAACGCTAGAGGGACGGGTGCTCTGCTATCAGATCTCTCATCAACAACCCTCCCTCGGCCTGGTCCTGTCATCAGGGTACAGCAGAGCTAGGGGCTCACGTGGGAGGACAAGGTCTGCCAAGCTGGGCTCAGCCCCTGTGCATGTCTGCCACTGTCCCCTCGCCACCACCCCAACCCCAGAGTTAAATCCTTCCAGTCATTCAGAAAGGAAACCCTCAGCACAGCTCTGACGCAGGAGGCAGTCAAATCCTCCCACCCATCATCTTTCATTGACTGCTAGCTCTCTTCCAAAGAAATAACAGCTGTAGCAGACCAAAACCCGCACAGCTGTGGTTATCCTGGAAGAAAGCCCTTTCAGCTGAGAAACCTCACAGCCACAGAGGAAGCTGTGGCACAGGAAGGCATGAACAAAGCTGCTGGCCCTGAGCTGCTTCCAGGCATGGGCAGCTCAAGGCAGGGCTGCAGCCAAAAGCTCTGCCCCTGCCTTCACAAGCCTGGGCACAGATGCTTTTCCCCCAAACTGAGGCAGCCTCCACGGCTTTCCAGAGTCCCACCGCCTCTACAAACATGTTTTACGCTCTCTGTGCCTCTTTGTTTCCAAGGGTCCCAGGCCTAAAAGACCACAAATGGCAGGGACATCGCCATCGGGCTAATGCACAACCCCTGCTACCAATCTGCTTGCATGCTGTGGACCCAAACCCACGAGCCCACCAGGCCAGACAGCTTTCTGAAGAACTAGGAAAGAAACCTCTGTCAGAGCAGAAATCAGGTCACAAACCTGAGACATTACAGGGAAGAAGAGCAGCAGGTTCATCGTAGGAAGGCAGGCGTCAGTTAACTAAGGCACATGTTCACAGCATCACCCAGCCCAGCTCTGAGACACACTTTCAAGACCTCACAGAAGCGTAATAAGTGCAATATTTAATTGTCAATTTGCTTTTTCCTGAAGTTTGAGAGGAAGGGTGTGGAGCTGCTCCTCCAGAGCAAGGTGGTTGGAGCAGCAGTGCTTTTGATGAGATAAAGCAGCAAAGCATGAAGTGGCACTTGGGAGGCACTTGGGCTTGGTTTTTTTGGCCCCAGTAAGCTCATGCTGCCCTTTGGCTGGGTGCAGAAGCAGAATGACACCGAGGTCCCCAACAAGGGCTGCTCAAACAGGGGCAGAACACTGCTCATCCCCTCTCAAGAAGCGCTAAGTAATGGAGATGAAGGCAGAAGGAAGGCAGAAAGCCCATCCCTGCCTGCCATACTCATCTCACCCTGCTTCTATGGACACTACCCACAGGCAAACACCAGCCCTCAGTGCCTGCTCTGGTAAATGCACTGCCCCGAAAGGGTTAAGCATGGGGCACGGCTTCAGGCCTCATCATTCCCGCAGAGAGGCAGCACAAAGCCAGGATTGTGAGAAATGGGGACTTGCCAGCGGCAGGCTGTGGTGGCAGGGCAGCACGCTGTACCAGCCACACAATGGGTGTTGATGAGCACGTCCGCTGGCACCAAGATGCACCCCAAAACCAGATTACCAGCCCCTTGCAGTGGGGAACAGCCTGAGAGAGGGACACTGAAGGCCCTCGGATGCTAAGTGCCAGCCCCAACAGAGCAACAGCAGCACGCTGCAGACTGCTGCATTCTCTCCCCATCCCCCCTCATCTCCAAAAACAGCCCAAGTATTTTAGGACCTGGGTAGAGCCACTCGGCTGCCACGGGCCGTGCAGCCAGGCTATTTAGGGAGAGGCGTATTTATAGGTCATGTGAGATGGTGAAATTCATTCCCTCCAGCCCCCCCTGACACAGGCACAATGGGGCACAACACAGACTGCAACCCGTTAGTCAGCCGATGCTCCTGGCACACCTCAGCCCTACCAAAAACCCCTGCTTTTTGGGAGCTCCCCCGATACCATTCACACCAGTCACTGCCCGCAGAGCAGCCCTATTCTGGTGACAGGCACTGGACAGCCCCCATAGGCAGTGCTGGAGGAGGGCACCAGGGCAAATTTTGTCCCTAAATGCAACTTAGAATCATAGAATCGGAAGGACCTTAAAGCTCATCCAGTTCCAACCCCCTGCCATAGACAGGGACACCTTCCACTAGAGCAGGTTGCTCCAAGCCCCTGTGTCCAACCTGGCCTTGAACACTGCCAGGGATGGGGCAGCCACAGCTTCTCTGGGCACCCTGTGCCAGCACCTCAGCACCCTCACAGGGAAGAGCTTCTTCCTAATGTTTAATCTAGATCTACCCTCTGTCAGTTTAACACCATTCTCCTTTGTCCTATCACTACATGCTCGTGTAAGAAGTCCCTCTCCAAACATCCTGGGGAGCCATCCCATCCTGTACTCCAGGAGTGGTGCAGCAAGCATATGGAGCACTTGGGTGCCTTCCCAGCCCTCCCCATCCCCACTGGGGCTTTGCTTCCTTTGGGCTCAAAGCTCCCTGGGACACGAGCCAAGCCTCATCCGGGTGACGTGCATGCATTATGGACAGAGGGGCTCTCATGCTAACGGGCAGAGACGTCTCACATCGCAAGCAGGCGACTCCAGCAGCGAGTCAGTGCCATGGCAGGTCCCCACCTGCGATGGCTGGAATGGGAAT